CCTCCTCATCCTCCTCCTCCTCATCCTCCTTCTCCTCCCCTTCCCCGTCCCCCCCTCCACCTCCTCCCCATCCCCCGCCCCCTCCTCCACCTCCTCCTCCTCCTCCTCCTCCTTCTCCTCCTCCCTGTCCCCCTCCTCCTCCTCCTCCTCCTCCACCTCCTCATCCTCCTCCTCGTCATCCTCCTCCTCCTCCTCATTATCCTCCTCCTCCCTTTTCTCCTGCACCTCCGTGTTATTTCTCTTAGCGTTAGCATTACTAGTATTGTTATTCATTTTGGTGAGATTAGTCGCGCTGATCGCGCTAGCAATAATATCAATTGTGATAGTACCCGTATCACCAATATAATTAGTGTCATCATAATCAGTAGTATTGTATTAGTATTAGTATGAGTTTTAGTGTTAGTATTAGTATTAGTAGTAGTCGGAGCATTAAAATTAGTATTACTATCAGTATTAGTATTCGTATGAGTATTAATATTAGTATGAGTATGAGTATGTACTGAGAATCAATATCAGTATCAGTATCAGCATCAGTATCAGTATTAGTATGAGCATTAGTATTAGTATTTAGTAATAGTATTACGATCCGTATTAGTATCAAGATTAGAATTACTACTACTAGTAGTACTAGTATTAGGATTAGTATTAGTATTCGTATTAGTAGTAGTAGTAGTAATAGTAGTAGTAGTAGTAGTAGTAGTGTTAGTATTAGTATTACTATTAGTAGTAGTACTATTAGTATTAGTATTAGAATTGGTATTAGTATCAGTATGAGTATTAGCATTAGCATCAGCATTCGCATTCGTACTCGTAGTAGTATGAGTAGTAGTATGAGTACTAGTATTAGTATTAGTATTAGTAATAGTATTAGTACTAGTACTAGTATTAGTATTAGTATTAGTATTAGTAGTAGTATTAGTATGAGTATTAGTATTAGTATTAGTATTAGTATTAGTAGTAGTATTAGTATTAATATTAGTATTAGTATTAGTATTAGTATTAGAATTAGTATTAGTATTAGTATTAGTATTAGTATTAGTATTAGTATTAGTATTAGAATTAGTATTAGCATTAGTATTAGTATTAGTATTAGTATTAATATCAGTATTAGTATTAGTATTAGTATTAGTATTCGTATTAGTATTAGTATTTGTATGCGTATTAGTGTTAAGATTAATATTCGTAATAGTACGAGTATTAATAGTAATATTCGTATTAGTATTGCTAGTATTAGTATCAGTATTGGCGTTAGTAGCAGTATTGGTACTAGTATTAGTATTAGTATTAGAATTGGGATGAGTAGTAGTATTAGTATTAGTATTAGTACTAGTATTGTATTAGTACCAGAGTTAGCCTTAGTCTTAGTCCTAGTACTACTAGTAATATCAGTATTAGTATTAGTACTACTATTAGCAGTAGTAGTAATATTGTTGCTTGGCAATACTATTAGCATTAGCATTAGCATTTGCATTCGCATTCGTAGTCGTATGAGTGGTAGTACAAATTTGTAGTAATTGTAGTAATATTCGTATTAGTATGAGTACTAGGTACTAGTATTGGCGTTAGTATTAGTATTAGTATTAGTATTAGTAGCAGTAGCAGTGTTAATATTAGTATTAGTATTAGTAATAGTAGTAGTATGAGTAATAGTATTAGTATTAGTATTAGTATTAGTAATAGTATTAGTATTAGTATTCGTATTAGTATTAGTGCTAGTATTAGTACTAGTATTAGTACTAGTACTAGAATTAGTATTAGTAGTCGTATTACTAGTACGATTACTTTTACTATTACTAGTACTACTTGCATTAGTTTTAGTATTAGTAATCATGTTAACATGTGCATTCGCATCCGTGTTCGCATTCGCATTCGTTTTCGTATTACTATTAGTATTCGTATTAGTATTAGTACAAATATTACTATGAATATTAGTTTTGGGATTGGTATTAGTATAGCCGCAGTATTAGCAGTAGAACTAGCATTAGCATTAGCATTAGCATTCGCATTAAAATTAGCATTCGCGCTAGCATTAGCATTAGTACTCGCATTAGTATTAGTAGTAGTAGTAGTAGCAGTAGTACTAGTACTAGTATCAGTAATAGTACCAGTATTAGAATCAGTATCAGAATTAGCATTAGCATTAGCATTCGTAGTAGTATTCGGACGAGTATTAGAATTAGTATTAGTATTACTATTACTATTACTATTGGTATTAGTATGAGTATGTGTATTAGTAGTCGTATTAGTATTAGTACTAGTACTAATATCCGTGTAAGTATTAGTATTAGTGTCCGTATTAGTATTAGTATAGTATTAATCTTATTTTTGGTAACAATAATAATATTTGTAATAGTATTCGTATTAATATTAGTATTGGTATTCGCATTCGTCTTCGTATTAGTATTCATATCAGTATTAGTATTAGTATGTGTATTAGTATCAGGGTGAATATTAGCATTAGTATTAGTATTACTACCGCTAGTAGTATTAGTATCAGTATTTGTATTAGTTTTAGTACTAGTCCTAGTACTAGTACTAGTACTAGTACAACTATTAGCATTAGGATTAGTATTCATATTAGTATAAAAATTAGTATTAGCATTCATAGTATTAGTATTAGTACTAATACTAAAATTAGTAGTCATAGTATTAATACTAGTATTAATATTCGCAGTCGTCGTAGTATTAGTATTAGTGCTGGTATTCGGATTAGTATTAATATTAAAATTAATATTTGCATTAACACTAATAGTAATATTATTATCAGTATCAGAATTAGTATTACGATTACGATTAGTATTAGTATTCGCAGTATTATTAGTATGAGTATTAGTATTAGTAGTAGTACTAGTACTACTATTAGTATTAGTATGTGTATTAGTATTAGTAATATTATTAGCATTAGTATTAGTATTACTATACTATGAATATTGATAGTAATATCAGTATTAGTATTCGTATTAATATTAGTATTGGTATTGGCATTCGTCTTCGTCTTCGTATTAGTAAAAGTATTAGTATTAGTATTAATATTTGGATTTGTATTAGTATTCGCATCCGTCTTCGTATTAGTATTAGTATTCGTATTAGTATTAGGGTTAGTACTAGTACTGTTACTAGTACTAGTAATAATATTATTACTAGTATCAGTATTCCTATTAGTGTTTGTATTCGTACTAGTATTAGTAGTAGTATTAGTACCCGTATCAGTATTAGTATTAGTATTAGTATTAGTATTAGTAGTAGTAGTATTAGTATTAGTATTAGTATTTGTATTAGTATTAGTATTAGTATTAGTATTAGTATTAGTACTAATGTTAGTATTAGTATTAATATTAGTATTAGTAACAGTAATAGTGTTAGTGTTAGTATTAGTATTAGTACCAGTATTAATATTAGTATTAGTACTAGTACTAGCATTGTGGTTATTGTTCGTGATATTATTCTCAGTGTTATTCACATTCTTCTGATTGTTACTATTTAATTGTTAACTTAGATTCGTCTTCTTAGTAATAGTATTCATCGCCGTTATTATCATTAGCAATCCTCTTCATATTACTAGTATCATTCAGATTCTCCTTACGATTGTGAATGTTACTCTTCTTCTCCTCTTTCGCCTCTTCCTCCTCCTCATCCTCATCATCCCCTCAAACCCTTTTCATTGTAAACGACTCCTCCCTGCCGCACCCCCGACGTGTTGGTAGGGCGGGCCTGGCGCTGCGCCCAAGAAAACCACACTACCCATGGTCCGGAAGCTCTAGTTGTGCAGAAACTTCATGTCTGGAGGGCGTATCCTTTTCAAAATGTTGCTCTCGCCTTAACGTCGTGCACATTTCTTCCCAAGTCTGCAAAATCTTCAAAGGTGGAGGGCGGGTCCTTTTCAAAAAGTTGTTCTCGCCGAAGCGCCGCGCACATTCGTCTTAAAAGGTTGCAACAGCTTCAAGGATGTAGGGCGGTTCCTTTTCAAAGTGTGGCTCGCGCGTTAGCGACGCGCACATTCGTCAAAGCTCGCAGCTGCTTCAACCATGGAGGACGGTTCCTTTTCGAAATGCGATTGTCGCCTTAGCGCCGCGCCTATCCGTCTTCAAAGTTTGCAGCAACTTCGACGACTCAAAAGGTTGAAGTCTCGCGAAAGCTGTTCTGGGACGAATTAGGGTTGTCAGGCCGTGACAGTCACATTGACTCGCGATGTTGAAGCCCCGAGACTGGCGTTCGGGCAAGATTTAGGATTGTCAGGACGCCACAATCATGTTGATTCAAAGCGTTGAAATCACAGGAACTGCGTTTGGGAAGATTGAGGATTCTCAGACGGTTGTCTTTTGATGGGGCACTTCCCGAAGTGAAAACAAATCTGCGATGAGACCTCTGAAGACGGAACTTGGAGGGCAGGGTAAGCCGCAACATCGTGCACGTGTTTTGACTTTACAATGGCCCTCCTCCTCCTCCTCCTCCTCCTCCTCCTCCTCCCTCCTCCTCCTCTTTCTCCTTCTCCTTCTCCTGCTCCTGCTCCTGCTCCTGCTCCTGCTCCTGCTCCACCTCCACCTCCACCTCCACCTCCACCTCCTCCTCCTCCTCCTCCTCCTCCTCCTCCTCCTCCTCCTACAACGACGACTACGACGACAACGACGACAACGACGACGACGACGTCTTTGTTCGGCGGGGCCGCGCGCGGCAACAACCTGGTAACTGGTGCACTTGCGGCGGAACGCAGCGGTGGGAACAGGCAGGACAGCGCCGAAAGGAGTTCGAGCGGAGAGCGCCTTTGCCCTCCCCCCTCCTGCGCAGACTCCCGACATTATGATTCTCTAACAAAATGGACCCCTAATGATCTCGACCCATTCCCTGGGACTCGCTTGTCATCCTGAACCCTTCTTGTTGGCAGCCCCAGAGCCCGACGAGGGCCTCAAGAGGCGAAAAAGGGGCCACCCACCTCAAGCCTTAATGTTTCCACGACCCGACAGGGTCTGGGCCCCCCTCGTCCCTGGTGCGCCGGCCCGATCCTGGACCAGCGCGGCCGCCATCCAGCAGGCGTGGCCGGGCGCCGCGCCCGCCTGAGCACCAAAAAGGCCGTTTCGGCGGCCCGCCGAACACACAGGGGCGGCCTCGCCAGAAGGCGGCGCCAACCCCGCCGCCATCCCCCCACCCCAGACCTACTATGGTAAGGCTTCGGGCTGCGCACAGACAGCCCCCCTAGATAGTCCCGGCTCGCCTCCACAGGCCCCCCAGGTACGGCGACGGCCTTGAACAAGGAACTCTGGGGTCAGGAATCCAGGGCCCGACAGAGGGTGGCGCTCCGATCGTGCACTGGCCAAGGACAACACCACCGCCCCCATCAGAGAAGGAATCCTCCAGGGCCTGAACCCTCCTTAACGACCGCCCCCACCGTAGTCCTGGCTGGTCGCCACCTCCTCCTCCTCCTCCTCCTCCTCCTCCTCCTCCTCCACCTCCTCCTCCTCCTCCTCCACCTCCTCCTCCGGCCCCTCGAGCAGTCTGAGGCGGTCTCAACACCGTGCCGCCGCCTCGGGCAGCGCCCCTGGGGCGCACCGCGCCCCCGGGGGCTGGGGGGGGGTCGGGGCCGCCTCGGACTACTCGGGGGGCCTGTTGGGGCCAGCCTGGGCTATCCGGCGGGGTTGCCTGTATGCAACCCGAGGCCTTACCAATTTTCAACCCTAGCGGTCTTCCAACAGTGCGGCCCTCAGGGGCCGATGTCGGCCCCCCAGGCCTTCAATACCAGATCGAGACGTAAAAACTAAACTCAGGGAATGGGTCGGGGACTGTGGAGGCCAGGGGTTGAATGAAACCACCTCGTCAGATGTGTGGGTTCTCGTCTCCGCTCCCTCAATCACCCTTCCTTCGTGTAAGTTGTCCTCCTCCTCCTCTTCCGTCTCCTCTCCATCCTTATCGACACCGCCACCACCACCACCACACCCACCATCACCATCAAAGTCACCATCACCATCATCACCACCACCACAACCATCATCATCATCATCATCATCATCAGCAGCAGCAGCAGCAGCATCATCAGCATCATCATAATCGTCATCATCATCACCACCACCACCATCATCATCATCATCGTCATCATCTTCATCATCATCATCATCATCATCATCATCATCATCATCATCATCATCATCGTCGTCGTCATCAGCATCGGCATCATCGACCTCGACATCAGCATCAACACCATCATCATCATCAGCATCAGCATCATCAGCATCATCAGCATCATCATCAGCAGCAGCATCATCCACAACACCATCTCTGTCACCCTCATGATCATCATCACCATCATCAGCATCATCATCGTCAGCAGCAGCATAATTATCAACATCATCATCATTATCATCATGATCAGCATGATCATCAGTATCATCCAGATCGTCAGCGGCATCAACCACATCGTCATCATCGTCATCAGATTCGTCATCAGAATAACCACCCACAACAGCAATGTCATCGCCATTATCATCCGTATCAGGACCTTCTTCTTCTTCAACATCATCATCGACAGGATCAGGATAAGCATCATCATCAAACTCCACATCTGCATCAGCATCATCATTATCATCATCATCATCGTCATCAGCGACATCATCACCATCATCCCCATCATCACCACCATCTGGGCATCATCAGCGTTACCATCACCATCATCATCATCAGCAGCATCGTCATCATCGACCCAGACATCAGCATCAACACCCTCATCATCATCATCATCATCATCATCATCATCATCATCATCATCATCATCATCATCGTCGTCGTCATCAGCATCGGCATCATCGACCTCGACATCAGCATCAACACCATCATCATCATCATCATCATCATCATCATCATCAGCGTCGTCGTCATCATCATCATGATCATCATCATCATCATCATCATCAGCAGCATGATCATCATCACGATCATAAAAGTCATCGTCAGCAGCAGCATGGGCACCACAATTAGCCTGATCACCAGCGTCATCATCATCACCATCACCATCACTGCCATCGTCATCAGCATCCCCATCTTGTAGCACTATCATCAACATCTGCACCACCAGGACCATCATCATCATAAAAAAAATCATCAACAAAGTCATCGTCGTCTTAATCCTGGCCACCGCCATCATCATCATCAACATCATCATCATCATCATCAGCCTCAGCATCATCATCATCATCATCAGCATCATCATCATCGTCACGATCATCATCACCATCACCATCCACTCTAATATCAGAATCATCCTCAGCAGCATCAACTTCATCATAATCATCAGCATCATCATCATCACCATCATCACAATTTTCAAGGAGCATAAAAAGAATAATACCAGAGAAAAACTCAATTCAGGATCTATTTGGGGCTATGGGGCTATGGGGGCTACAGGGCTATGGGGCTACAGGGCTATAGGTCTATAGGGCTATAGGGCGATAGGGCTATAGGCATGTAGATCTAAAGGGCTATAGGTCTACAGGGCGGGCTACAGGGCTATAGGGCTAGAGGGCTAGAGGGCTATAGGGCGATAGGGCTATAGGGTAGAGGGCCATTAGGCTATAGGGCTATAGAGGGCAATTTGGCTCTAGGGCTCTAGCGTTATAGGGCTATAGGGCTATAGCGCTATAGGGCTATAAGGCTATAGGGCTATTAGGGCTTTTGGACTATAGGACTATAGGGCTATAGGGCTATAGGGCTTTAGGGTTATAGGGCTATAGGGCTATAGGGCTATAGGGCTACCAAGCTCTAGGGCTATCGGGCTAGGGGGCTATCAGGCTATAGGGTTATAGGGCGATGGAGCACCAGGGCACCCCTGGGCACCCCTGGGCACCCTGGGCACCTGCGGGCACCCCCGGGCACCCAGGCACCCGGGCACCCGGGCACCCCCAGGCACCCGGGCACCCCGGCACCCGGGCACCCGGGCCGGCCACCGAAATCGGCGACGCACCTTACCTAACCATATGAATCCGAGAGGACCCCTACAGAGGCAAGCTCTGATTGAGGAATCATCATCAGCATCATCATCATCATCATCAGCAGCATCATCAACGTCATCATCATCATCATCATCATCATCATCATCATCATCATCATCATCATCATCGTCATCACCATCATCATCATAATCACGAGATCATCATCATCATCAGCATCATCATCGTCATCATCATCAGCATCATCAACGTCATCATCATCATCATCATCATCATCATCATCCTCATCATCAACACCATCATCAACATTATCATCATCATCATCATCGTCATCGTCATCGTCATCGTCATCATCACCATCATCATCATCAGCACCACCATCATCATCATCGACGTCATCATCATCATAAGCAAAGTCATTCTCATCCTCGTCATCACCATCACCAGGGCAATCACCATCACTATCGCGATCATCAACACGACCATCGTCATCATCATGACCAGGTTCGTCACCATCCATATCATCAAAAACGGTGTCATCATTATCATCATCACCATCATCATCAGCATCAGCACCATCATCATCATCATCATCATCATCATCATCATCATTATCATCATCATCATCATCATCATCATCATCATCATCATCATCATCATCATCATCATCATCATCATCATCATCATCATCATCATCTTCGTCATCGCCCTATCCGCCGTCATCGATCGCCATCGATAGCACCGTCATCATCATCATCATCATCATCATCATCATCGTCGTCACCACCACCATCATCATCAACAACAGCGTCATCGCCTGCGTACACCTCACCATCCGCATCATCATCCTCATCATCATCATCGTCATCATCGTCATCATGATCGTCATCATCAACATGATCATCAACATCGTCAACATCCTCATCACGCCCAGCATCACTATCATCACCACTATATCATTATCATCAGCGCCGACATCATCGCCACCACAACCATGATCGTCATCATCATCATCATCATTATCATCATCATCATCATCATCATCACCATCATGATCATCAGCAGCATCATCATCATCACATCGTCGTCGCCGTCGTCGTCTGTCACGTCGTCGTCGTCCCAATCGTCGTCGTTGCCGTCGTCGTTATCGTCATCATCATGATCATCATCGTCACCATCATCATTATCATCAGCAGCATCAGCATCAGCAGCATCGAGCCATCACTATCATCACGATTATCATCAGCAGCAGCAGCGTCAGTGGCATCATCAGCAATGGAATCAACATCATCATCTCCAACATCACCAACATCGTCATCATCATCATCATCACCACCCTCATCATCATCATCATCACCACCATCATCATCATCATCATCATCATCATCATCAGCAGCATGATCATCACCATTATCAGCATCATCTTAATCGGCACTATGATCATCCTTCAGCAGCATCAGCAGCATCATCATCAGGTGTCCAGTCAGATCATCATCAGCAGCAGCATCATCACCATCAGCATCATCATCATCATCATCATCAGCATCATCATCATCATCAACGTCATCCTCATCACCACCACCACCATTACCATTATCATCATCATCACCAACCATCATCATCATCGGCATCATCATGACCATCACCATCACCAAGCCGTCGTCTGAATCATCATCATCATCGGCGGCATCATCGTCACCATCATCATCATTACGTCACATCATCATCATCATCATCATCATCATCATCATCATCATCATCATCATCATTATCATTATCATTATCATTATCGTCATCATTACCGTCATCGTCCTCATCGTCATCATCATCAAGCCTTCATCAGAATCAGCAGCAGAATCATCATCATCAGCATCATCATCACCATCATCATCGTCATCGTCATTGTCACTGTCGTCGTCATCGTCACCGCTATGGTCACCATCATCATCCTCATCATCACCATCATGAGCACAATCATCATCATCATCATCATCACCATCAGCATCAGCACCATCACCACCACCATCACCATCATCACAATGATCGCCACCATCATCATTCCCAACCGTCCTGTGGTGTTGGGTCCTCGTTTTGAAAAGACGGTGGCCCGCGTCTCATCCTC